TGTTTTTAAGTATTTTTCACTATTCTTAAGTGGATAATGTAGTAGTTTTAAGAAATTTAAGAATAATATTAATTAGTTAAATTTAATAATATCGCATACCTATAGTTATATACTATACGAGAGTAAATGTTCAAATTCTTCGAATCAGAGAAACAACAGTTTAATGGATAAAAATAAGTGAAGCTTTGCATCGAAAGTAATAAAATCCACTCATTATCTACCTTGACCTAATATATACTCAGTGAAGTAGTAATCATCTCATTTGTAAAGTGATGCAATTTGATCAATATATAAATCATCTGACTGTCTTTATTTCCATAACTTGAATTTTTTCTATTTAATTTCATTGTTTAAATGCATTCAGACAATTTGACCAAAGTTTACATCATTTGTAATATAAATAATAATTCCATTGTTCAAGAGAGTCAATAATGTAAGTATAATAGTAGGATTCTAGAAATATCTATGATAATTACATTAAGATTTACTAAATAGTTTCCATAGAAAAGTTTACTTTATTAAATCATATTCGTAAACAAATGTTCTCTACAATGTGAAAGAATAATTTCCATGAATTTGATGTATGATAGCAACTATCTACAAACCATTTCGATTATGGTTAATTTTAGTTAAGCCCATTTAGTAACTTAATAAACAATGTTATTTGAACAGTATATTTCTTTGTACCGTTATGATCACTAAATCACATGACAGAATCTATCTAAAAGGTTGATGATTCATCCTTCTCCCCATGCATATATGTACTCAAATCTTATTTATCAGCTTTTGCTATTCCTTGTTGTGTCCTGACTCAATTTACTATAAATTCACCGATGTAATTGCTCGTATATACCCTGATGTGCTTACAGCTTTGTAATCTGCGCTATCTGCTAATGAACTGCAATTGTCACTTCTCATTGCATTCTGATTTCTAAACATCGTTGAGCTTTACATAATAACGATTATCGTGGTGATTGATAAAAGAAGCAAAGCCACCACAGAATGAAAATATCACGATGAACATTTTCTATTTCATCGAAATAGTTATCTTGAATATTATGATAAAAATTATAGGAATAAAGTAAAAAAGTTTTTTTCTTTTTTATAATTTCACTTTTATTCATCTTTATTTAATCCAACAATAATTTAATGTATATTTGTATCCGTGTAACATATTCAGAATAACTAATAGTTTATAAATATGAACAACTTTTTAATTATTCTCTAACTGATCGTTTAACTGGATAACAATATCTATGCTAAAATTGTTTTAAATTCTCATAGGATTTATTTATCTGACTAACAAATCATATTTTGAAAAAAATTAAGATAAAACAAAGATTATTATTTTGAAAAACACTTAGATACTACTTAAAATGGATATATATATATATATATATATATATATATATATATATATATATATATATATATATATGGAGGGAGAAACAGAGTAACTAAATAGATAATAAGTGATCACGATCACTGGGTGGTGATCAACCAATTGCGATTACATCTCAGTCCTACAGGAGGTCGGTCGCGGCTCGGATAGCTCAGTGGTAATGTCTCTGACTATGAAGCTGGGTGATACGTGATCGAATCCACCAGGTAGCACCAGTTCCCTCAAGATTACAGGTACACCTTGCTGACGAGTACCAAGTAGCACGAAACCCGGGTCCAGGGTTTCTTGTTGACTACCTCCAACCACCATCTAATAATAAATGATGTTTAGTTTGACAAATATTTTACTTAAAAGTAATTTAAGGTATCATTTTCTTTTAAATTTGAAATTTATTAAAGTTTCTGAAGAGAAAATCTTAATTGACGGTATCATGCTAAGGTACTATTTACAGTTAGGTTAATTTAATTTGTTAAGGAGAGCAAGAACAAAGATTGGTGCAGAATAATATGAATTCATGCATTGACACAGGACACGAAGTCGATATGCTGAAGTCTTTCAAGGTGATTAATAAACAATCAAGCTCCAACCTTCTGAAATTTACTGAAGCATTAGCAATCAAACGTTTAAAACCAGATCTATGTATACAAAAAGAGACAGTAATAAATCTTTCTTTACCCTGGTAACAATAACCTCCACCCTTTCTATTAATTTGCTCCTATTTATTTATTTATTACGTCATTATTGCAACTCTTTCTGAAGTTTAAATTACATTAAACGTAACTGACTGATTTCAATTCATATTTTCTTTATTACCATTAATCTATTTTCATGAGTTCTAATCACTATTTCAATGTTACGGAACTTTCCCTTTCAAACTCTATTTATTCGAGACAAAATTTTATGACCTCATTAACTCTATCTGAATCTTTGCCACATCATGATACACATGTATTGATCCTTAATCACACTCTTATATATAAATATGTCAATATCTGTAATAATGTTAAATTTTAAATAATTTAGGTTGTAAGCAGCTGATGAGAACCTAACGAAATAAAATGAATTCATATTATTCTGCACCAATCTTTGTTCTTGCTCTCATTAAGATAATAAAGGGAACTGTGTGTATGTAATTTGATTTGATAACTCCAATTGAATTCTTATCATGAACTCTTGTTGATATGATAAATGTATTTAAGAGGAGAATATATATAAGTAACGTTGAAAACTAATACTTTTTTTGGATAACTAGTTGATGATTAAGGTTATATGTCAGTATATTGGTAATTTAAGAAAATATGGTCTAATCCCATATTATAAGTATATACATGTTCATGATGAATTTCTATATCGACAGTGTTTTCATATGAAGTATGGTTAACCCTTTATTTTATCAACATAGTATTCGTTTAAAGATCATATATTAATTAGAATCGAAAATGGCTTTAAGTAAAAAAATATTTTCAAAGAAAGTATAGAACATGATACCTTAATAAGACAAATCAAAGTTTCAATTCTGACGTGATAATATTTTTAATTGAAATGTAGATCGTATACTGAGAAATTATTGTGAATATAATTATGATAAGCCAATACAAGATTTTATTCATGAACGTTGAATAACCCTAGCTCAAACCCTATATATATTGAACTTTCAACTTAAAATTTGTTGAAGAAAAGAAGTTGAAAATCTTTATGGAGTCAAATGACTTCTGTAATATTAGTGATTCAGTTATATAAAACACGACCTGTGGTATTTATCTTGATGACCGTTTTTTTATTTTATGTCGCTAGTTTTTACGTGTCTGTTAGAATGAAAAACAATTTTCTTCATGATTTGTTATTTAAGTAAGTTAACTATTTTAGTCATTATCTAATATATCCTCTGGTGACTTTTGTTTCTTGTATATAACCTCTTCTTTTTTCACTGTTCCACTTATTATTTTCTGGATTTTTAGTAAAATATTATGCAGTACTTCCTGGTACTATTGACGGTTGCTACTAGGATTCTTTGTGAATCAATGTTTACCTTTTGGCTCACAATAAAATGAACTTTAGTCGGTATCTAGGGTAATTTCGTCTCAGGGAGAAATATCTGTATGATATTTGACATTCCATTCAAAAGATTTCAAACACTATCTATCTATCGTATACTTAAAAATTAATGTAAATAAAATTATATCAAACCAATGAAAGATGTTTTTCAAGAATAAAAGTTTATTACTATTAGTGAGTTTATTGAATATTATATTTTTGGCACATTATGGTATTCTCAGCACCAAGTATTTCAACAAGTTTCCTTTTCTTATTTCTTGATTGATCCCTGCACTAAATATCGAGTGGTTGCCAGTTAGATGTTAGCAGTTCAGGAATCGACATTTGCATGTTCCTTTCGATTTATGTTGTCAGCAACCACGATATCACTGACTGGGCTCTTTTATAACTCGTACAGCGAAATTCCGTAAACTTTTTAGAAACGTACCTGAATAGGTTATGCTACTAATAAGCATAATGATGTGTTAAAACAAACAAGGAAACAGACAACTTGTTGAAATAGCCGAACGGCGGGAACAGGTAGCTCAGATAACAATTTATTCATCATGATAAAGAGAAAAACTAAATCTTCAGAATTATCACGCAATCAAAATTTCCATTTTTAATGTTAAAAAAACTTACATGTAAATGAAATTAGAAATGCTGAAATATTTTTTTATTAAACAAAATCTTACGTCTAAATATTACAGTAATAAATAAACATATAGAAAATGAAATATTCCATTCCGGTATGGACAAAGATGTTCAACGGCCCTATACCTAACTCCATTTAGATCGTATGATTGATTGTTATTGAAATATACGTCCTGATTACCTCCGTTTAGTCGTGATATGATGATATTATCGACAAGCTTATCGACTGAGTAAGGTGCGTTGTGTTTATTCGTCGAAAGTATAGAATGTGGAGGGTTCTTCATCGACATAGTTTGCAATGTTGGGTTTGTCGTTGGGCTTACTACTTTAGTGACCTGATATTACTGGAGCCAGACATCAGGTCACCAAAGATGATTATTAGTAATGAAGTGGATATTAGAGAAGGTTTTTCTTTTTGTAAACATTTTTTTTTGATTTGATACATGAAAGCTTTTTCAAGGAAACCTTGGACCAGATTGCCGGGCGAAACGTTGGATTTACTTCAAAATTCATTCACTGAGATTTTACAATTACATTCTTCCTCTTTAATATCTCACATTAACTCGGCACCCGAATACTGTGAAATTATTAGATCAATTTATTTTATTTTATTTGTAACCGCTACCTTTAACCATAGTAAATGAAAAGTTATACGTTGTCGTATTCAAGTTATAACAGTTATTACCTGCCATTATTATCATTATTAAGAAATGTCCTATTTCCCAAAAATTCTATGCACCGCATAATTTTATTGTATCTATTTTATTTCATTCCCTAAATGAGAAGAAGTCTTATTCAAATAAAATTGATTCATGAAATGTCAACTACTATATATAATAAGTGTAAACAATATATGAAATAACATGTAAGTTCATTATAATTTAAGTGTATACCATAAAATAACACTTACATAATTTAACCATACACTTGTAGTTAATACTTGGTTTTTTTCATCTAAATCCAATATTTGTATTAATGAAAGTGACATTTCCACAAGAACTTTTTCCGATGTATGCTTTACTGGACGACCGGTTATTCCTGCAGCTTGATATTTGTTTAATAAACGTTTAATTAAACGTTTCTCATCAGATAGTGTGTAAACACCTAGAAAAGTTAAAATATACAATAAATAATTATTGGCTAATTTAATAAAGTATAAAATAATACACTTTTCATAAATAACTTTATAAAATTAATTTTACGACTTATGTAACGGGTTTTGATTTTTGAGAACACATCCAATCAGTCGGTTGTGAATCACCCAAATTCAGGTAGTGCTTCGTTGGCTTCTACTTTGTTTATGACTATTTTAAGTAAGAATAATTGAAGAGTCCTAAGCCAAAACGAAACATATGTCAATTGCTCCTTATATTTAGTCAGCTTTCGAGCTGAAACCAGTATATGGTAAAAATATTTGAATGGTTAACACTTCTTTTATTTACATTTCATAATTTTAATGTTTATTAACTAGACCAAACATCTTAAACTAAAAGTTAACATCGAATGAAGATTTAAAAAAATTTGACTCATCATGCATGAAATAAAACAAAATAATACTTAGTAATTTATTATTGCAATAACAAGAAATCCTCTAACAGAATAATGAACCTGATTTTAATATAATAATTGAATTTCGACCGTAAAATTATCATTAATGTTAATCTGAAAGCAAATTAACTATAGTGATTATTTCTCACGTTATCTTTACTTGGTAAACAAAAAACCATTGTACTGTTAATGAAAGGTAATGATATTTTGGGAAAACATAAACTCAGAACAAATATAAACGTTATTATCATTTAAATCAGTTAGTTTCTTTGATAAATATAGATTTATATAGTTAGTTGGCAAAGTTTATTAGAATTATGTGATATTAACAATCAATGTTTTAGTATAATTTTTGTGTCCATTTTAACGGGTACTGTGGGAAAATAACGAAGCCAAAGAAATCAATATAATTCATTTTGGTTAATTCGAAGCGTACAAGAAGATTGTCTTGAAAATTGATTTTGTTTTAATTAAGGCCATACTGTCAATTACCTTTGACAACTTAATAAGTAACTTTGTGAATCAGAATGTCAGATTACTTCAATTTGTACCCTTACAACAGTCTTGATCTATATAATTTTAATTGTCACTCAGTACTGAAACAAACGTAACATCTTATACAGTTTTTCTTCATTTTTATGAACATGAATGATAATCGTAGCAGAATAATACAACCTAGAAACAATAATACTAACGGCAAAAAAATAAAACAAACATATTTACTTCAGATCTGAATAAGTCCAAATAAAGTTACATTTGACACGTAGACGTAGAATTATGAAAGTTAGTAGTTGTGGAAAAATTTAAAAATCGTTGAAGCAAATGTTTACTTTTTCATAGGTTTACTGAAAAATAGAATTGAGCAAGGCATACAAATAGAATTCCAAAAATGGAAGATTGTTGTCACAGATGACGTATTACCTGACTAGCTGAGTGTAGTTCAGAGAAAAAGCATGAATTACAATTAAGGTTATGGATAAAATTTTGTGTAAAAGCCTTTGAAATTGGTATCACCAAGACAAAAAAGAGAAATATAAGTATCTAAATTTCTGAGTTTATTCCATAAAATCTGAAGTTAGAAGAACTGTATATTCAGTTATGATGAACGAGAACACAGATGGGGTCAACCAATGTACTTTAATGCAAAACTACAGAGTATCCTAGTAAAATATAAGAACGACACACCGAATACTTCATTTTCAAATTTCCGTCATTTGTCTTTCACATTCTGTATGATTCTTCCAGTTCACAATTTCTTTCTATTTTCAATTCCATTCTCTTCAACTCGAACTTCTTAGCCTTCTTCTGTTAGGGTTTCCACTTCCGACTTACGTTACATACTGCTTATGTCTGTCAACATAAGTAGCATACACTACATAGTTACGCATAAATATTCGTTTATTGTTTGAATTCTACACACTTTAATTATACGTTGTCACTAGAGATCTTTTTCTGTTACATTAATATTGTTTGGAGTACGCAAAGAATATTATGATCATTCATTTGATTTTCAAGTGTTTTCATAACTTACAGAACAGTTACAAAAAACTTGTGTAAACATACAAAACATTGGAATTAAAGATCTTCAAATGAGATAGATAAAAATCTGGTTTGTTAGATTATTTATTAAGTCGATTTGTTTATCATCTAAGTAAAGATTGTAACTGATTTACAAAATTTTGTCTATGTTCTTTTTTCTTTACAACATATCTATAATAAATCAGAATATCAGTATAGTGGTTGTGGAGACTATCACGTTTATGATTGAAACCATGAACCGATTGATGTCAGACCACCATTAAAAACCTGGAAACACTTGACGGCCGTTTCGTCCTATTGTGGAACTCCTCAGCAGTGCGCATTCACGATCCCGCCCCACAAGATTCGAACCCAGGGCCTTCAGTCTCGCGCGCGAACGCCTAATCTACTGAACCACTGAGCCGGCATCCAATGGTGTTAATGTCTAACATTAAATAATCCACGAAATCGCGCGACCATCTTCCACTGTACTGAGGTAGACACCTGTTTCTGCCCGATACGGATTAGCTCCACTGGCCACGGCTTCCCACCGGAACACCGAGAATTTTCTCATGAAGCTATTCACTGGTGCGCACATGTTAATTATCAATATAGTGGTTGTGGAGACTGTTAAGTCTTTTTTATTGAGATCATGAACCGATTGATGTTAGACCACCATTGAAACGGCCGTCCAGTGCTTCCACGTTTTCAATGGTGGTCTAACATCAATCGGTTCATGATCTCAATCAAAAAAATAATAAATTAGAATAGTAGGAGAATATAAAATTTCTTTTTTGTTTCAAGATATGAAAGTATACAATGTAGAGGAAATAATTTAAAAAGCTAAAGAATACTAACTCGACTTTTCAATTGATTATTACTGTGTATGTACTACTAATGTTGACAGATATAAGTAGTATGTATCATGAATCGAAAGTGAAATACCTGGCGGCAGCAGATTAAAAAGTTCGGAGAAAAGAGAATGAAAACAAAAAAATGATTGATGGGTAAGCAAATAAACAATGAAGTCTCAGATGATTGATGGACGTTCTCTAATTTGTGTACTTAAATACATTCGACTGTTCCCACTTGTGTTTTCGTTCACTACATTGCTTGTCACCATTTACAACATTTATTGTTATTACCTTCTGTAAATAATTCAGTCTGAAACAATTTTTTTCTTATTTGTATTTTAAAAAGTCACTGTTTTATAACTTAAATATTTGCCTTTTTTTACCTTGGTTTTGTCTCAGTACATGTATTATCAAATGAATTAATTAAACATAATAATTAGCTATTTCATTGATTTGTAATTGAACGTACTGGCTACTGAATAGTTATTTACTTAATACAGTATAGTTACTAGTGTTTACCGAATCCTATCGAATAATTCTGTAATAAACTTATCATATTAAGTGGAATGGTATTATAATTATTATCAAAATCTCAAGTTATTTGTTACTCATTGAAATTCTTCTTGAAGGAATTAGCATGCCTTCATAGATCCAAACTCAAGTCACTCACCATCTTAATATGAAGCGTTATTGACTAACTAGCTAACATTTTCCTAAAATATGGATCATTACTAGGAGTAGAATAAAGGATACGCATTTCGTCTAGTTTATAACTCATAAGCTGGACTTCCTTACATTTCAGTGTTCGCATTCACATTGAGACTTATATTTGATATTATGAACTTCAATTACCGTGCTACCCACAGTGCGACTGAGTCAAAATAACCACTAACCTATTCATTAAGTATAATGTTTTATTTTACTATTAACAGTTTTAATTATGTTGTTATTTTTATTTACAACTTTGTTTCAACTGTTTACAAAATGTCTGTCATTTTTAGAGGTTTATGAATGAGATGTGTAAGCAATGACTGGTTAAATTCAACTTCTGAACATCATTCTAATAAATACTTCAAAGCTTAGGTGTGGAATGTTCTATCAATCGTCTTCAAAGTCATCATACCATAACCGAAAAATATTATTGGCTAAAATTTTCAGTAAAAGTGAGAATATTAAGAGTGCATAAATTCTACTTCAATCACCAATATTAACCAAACTATCAGAATCTTATACAAGTTAAACCAAGTAGTACAGTTTGCTGACCACAAGTACACATTATTATCCAAAACATTTTATTGCTAAGTTACTGTTAAATATGAAAATTTATTTCATAAATTTGTGACATTCTTATTTTTACGCCCTGTAAGTTGTAAAAAGGTTTCATGATATTTGATATTATTTCTATCTAGCAAACTAATCTGTCTAAGTGATAACAGCTATAAACGTATTAGTGGTCGTTGGGCTTTCATCGTTCTTCTGAACGATAACATCATTACAAACTTCAGGTAGAAGTGAAGTGCTCTCACTTATATCAATCCACGTGGACAACTGCGGAAACATATTCGACTAGAAAAAATGTGGAAATCTTGGACAGATGCAATTCTAAAAAAACCAGAGAATTTTTAGAAGCTTGGCACTCAGGTATATCGGCAATCAACAATCACATTGAAATCGATCCCATTTACCAACCAGTCAGGAAAATCATGGACAAACATAGGACCAAAAATCAAACTAATGGGAGATAAAACCAAAACAAAGAAGTAAACATTAACAGGTTAACGGTCCACAAGAACCAATCAACATTAAGTTTCTACAGAACAAGCTGTGAACCATATGTGGAGAAATTCGAACACTTCAATTCTACCTGAAGTATGTGCTGATGATGTAGTTCAGAAGGACAATGAAAGTTTCACGATCAAGCCATCCAATTCAGAGAACAAAACTCCATCAGAAAGAAAGGTATATTTATCCTTAAGCAATTGATATAACCTTATGTTTAGCTCAACCATACATTCGAATTATGATAACTTCATTTATCGACAATGAGAAATTTATCATATATTTACCTTATGTTACTTTTTAATAAGAAAATCTTACACTGTTTTATGGACAATATTTTATCATTTCTGTATATATATACATGTATACATAAATTTCAGAAAGTAACAATAAGGAAACCAACAA